GGTACAGAGGGAATTGCTATGCCTGCACAAGCATTTTACTTTTGTTATATTTGATGAACAACCCTTTTTCTCACCATGGTTATTGAAGTCTTGATTCCATCTTCCATATTCTGTAATCTGAGTAGTCTGTTCTTACAAAAGTCCTAACATGTTATCTTATGACAGAGACACCAAGATTGTCAACTCTTAGTAAACCCTATAGGCTGAGCTGCTAATAATGACAAACAAGTAAGAATAGGACGAGTAGTTAGCTTTGGTAATATAAAGAATAGAGTCAGAGGTTATGCTACCTGCTTTTACTTTATGAAGAATATGCTGAATGTAAATCTTTCTGCCATAGAATATTAATATTCTATGTTAGGTTGCAAATTCTCCAGAACTAAAGGTAACCAGGGTGGGATCTCTATATCTATTTTAGAGGAACTCTTCTTTGGCTTCACTTAAAAGCAATTTTTTTTGCTTCTTCTTGTAGAAGCTCAGAGTTCCTTGTAGGGCTATCAGATCTTATTCACCAAATATACATCGATGTACACATTGTTGTGTTAGAACACTCTTTCTGCTATCTGTGTACTAGCTCTCATATTTGCTTTTGCTGATATTTTACAAGGGCTATTTTGAAATTTTTTATATAGTTAATTCTTTACTATGGTTGGTACAAGTGAAGTTCAAGAGCTTGCCAATTAGATCATACCTCTCTTTGGATTGCATGTAGTATAATGGTAGTGAGTCTTGGTTGTATTAAGCAGCAGGACTGTTTTATGGAGTGAAGCTATTCCCACAAAGATTTTGAAAGCTTATTTTACTATTTCTTTTGTTTGGTATGATATAGCTAGCCTAGTCCTTTTTAAAAATGAAATACTTGTTTTTAAATATAGATTAGTTATTAGATGGACAATTTTTTTTTTTGTATTTTTTGGCTCCACTTCAACTATATTTGAGTACCTAATCTCAGTTTCTAAAAAAGTTCATTGTTTGTGAGGGAAATCAGATTGGAAGGCTCGTGCAGATGTGGCAAAATTGTTAAAAGATCTGAAGAAGGAGCTAACTTTACTTGTTGTCAGCCATGACCTCAAGTAAGTTCCTGATTAGGTCCATTTGTTATTGTTGTTTACATATGTTATTTTATTGGAAATGAATCATCATACTAGATGTCTAACATTATTCACTTGAGGTTTTTATTGATGTCGAGAAAATTTATCGACACTTATTGGTGACGTCGTGAAGGAAGTCAATTATCCATAACTTGTGAACTCTGGAAACTTTTCACAGACTCCCTGTCCCTTTTTCTTGATAACTGGAAAATCCATCGTTTGCCACTTCCAGACTTGGTGGATACTGGGATTTTTCCTCTACCCTACTCCACTAGGCTTGGATCATCAGTCCGGATTCAAACTCCTGCTCTGCTACTACCATACAAGCCGCATATACTACCTTGGCCACTTCCTTGGTCACATATGGTGGTCCCATAGTGATATCAGGTGTCATGATAGAGAAATATTTGTTTACTCTCCGTTTCAAATTTCATAACTTGTTTGCTTCTACAATTTTTTAAAATGTAAAAACACTGAATTTGTATTTTTTTGATAATGTGTATTTCTGTAAGAGAAACAGCCAAAAAAAGAGATGCCTCCCCGGGTCAGCTCAATTTGCAAAGGTTGAGGGACTTGTATCTTGATTCACAAGTTTGATCCCCATGCCAAGAGAACTAAGTTCAATATTTTAGTGGAGAATGGTAGCACATCAGCCTAGAATTCCGAAGGCTGCAGCGGCCCAAAGGGTTGGCTCCGGACTGACTTCTTGATCTTAAAAAAAAAAAGAAGAAAAAAAAGGCAAACAACAGAGTAATTCTTCAAATGTTGAAAATGTAAAATTTGAGTGTGTCAAACTTTTAATAGTTTGCAATAAAAGGTGAAAACTTATCACAGAAAAGGGAAAACTAAAACAATCAATTTGAAATAGAAGGGGTAGATGATGTAAGGATATGCTTTTTTACGCTTACACAGTTGGCAATGTCTGATTAAAAGATTAATAAATCAATTGTGCCTCTACGCAAACTAGTTGGCTGGCTATATTTTTCACTGTTATCCTTAAAGGATTCAGAACTGCATAAGTGAGACAGAACTGCATTCAACTCTCAACTTAGCATAGTCATCATTATTTTGTTTCTGGTACTTCTATTTTCCTAGCAATTCATTTCTGGTTCTTGATTGATATTTAACTGATCGCAGCTGACTGTGAAGATGAGATATATGTACCCTGCTCTTATTGTATTAAAAATTTGGTTCCTTCTCTAATAGCTGCATTGGTGGTAATCTGTAGGGAGTTGGCATCTTTGGTAGATCAATCCTGGAGGATGGAAATGGGAGGAGCACTTAAAAAAGAGCCTCTACCCATTTAATGCACTGAACTTATAATGTTCCCAACAATCATTTTCTGATGTAATATATGAGGTATGACTACTCTATGAGGCCTATTTATCATCATGCTCTTTCAGTTATCGCTGATCTTGACTGGGAAAATGATAAGAGTTCAGGAGTAGCAAATGTGAATAACAATCACAAGATAAAAAATGAATGATTTTGCATCATCGGGAAGGGCTTTGTTGTGAAAGTTAGGATATGCCTTTCATGTACTCTCTTACTGTATTTAGTGCCTATCTCTCTATCAGGCTATCACACAGTATTCTCCTCTAGTTGTGATAGAAGATATATCTACTGATTGGTAAAAAAAGATGTATCTACACAATACAATTTCTAATATTTAGTATTCTTTTTGTATTAGTTTATATCTAGAAAGTTAAACTCTGCAAGAAGAGATAATTATTGCAGCCTCACCATAATGTGAGGATTCAGCGATTTAATGAACATCTTAGCATGACTAATTTCAGTGTCCTCATTGATGGATGAAATGAGTTACTGTCTTCTTATACGATCTCGGACAATGCTCACCTTGAGCTAGCATTGGGGTTTTCCTAATGTCCACTTTTCACAAGAATACTAATTCAACTATTATTAGCAGTACAACGATCACACTTAATGATTATAGCCCATTTCTCTTATATTAGCATTACACATGGAAGGAAGGAGGTACTCATTTGTTCTTCTGTGTTAACTTTTGCTCACACCTCCATACTACATACTCCTAATTATTAGTTGTATATAATACCATTAAAGCTCTTACACTAGATGCACATAGGATCATATTAACACTCTTTCTTGAACATTTTTCCGTCTGGAGCTCCATCACCCAGTCTGAACTACAAATTGAGATAAAAGACTGAGATGATGACACATGAGTATGTTTACGCAACAACAGAAGAGAATGACTGTAATTCTATGCAGTTTTACTTTGCAATCAGCATCTGTTTTAATCCAGTACCCTCTATCGCTGGTGAAGCATCATAACTTGTACCACTTGGTGATACTTGTAAGGTCTGGAAGCTTTTTATCGACTACACCACTTGCTCCAGGGTCCAGAGTTGCAAATCTTTCAGGAAATACTCTAGTTTGATCCTTTAGTTGATTGTTCTCATCTTTAATCCTTGAGGATGAACTCTCCTTTGAAACATTTTTAGGATCTACAACAATATTAAAATCTAGGTGTGAAGTGATATCCTCCACCAAGGTAGTCTACCCCTTGTACCCTTAATAGGATGAGATTTTCAAGAATGTTATGCAAGGCTGTACCCCTAAGAGGTCATAGATAGCAATTTCATTCCAGGTTATACTTGGATTACTTTGTTATATGATGTTTTAAAGAGCTAGATATTTTAATAGGATGCTTACACTTCTTGTCGCATATTAGTTCTTTATTTATGTTCTTTCTTTGCGTTTACCTTAGTTGATTCCAACAATCATTTTTGACAATTAGTAATTACTTGCAGGTTTTTATGAGCCTTGAATTGCATACAATTCTTGGAGAGGTGCTCAAGGTTATTGATTTTGCTTCAATCCCTGACCATCGAGGTCTTCACATTTCATGTAACCTCTGTAATGTAATTAACAGTTTCTGTAATGAGTTTTGAGATGGTTTCTAATTTTCTGTACACTTAGTTCGCCGTTTAAACTCTCATTAAAGTTTGATGGTCTGCAGCATTTTCTTTGTCCTCGTCTCTCACCAAAAGTTTTTGAATGTTTATTGGAATTTTGTTCAAAATATGTATGGTAGTATGTATGTATTGGTAAATTAAATTACACTGTTGACATATATGAATAGTAGCTTTTCTAGTTGTGTTAAAAGAATGACAAAAATTTCATATCAGTAGTTAGTGAGATGAGTGAATTCCTTATAAGTCTTGAACAATCTTCCTTCTTTGAGCTAACATTTGGGGTGTGAGTTAAGTGTAAGACTTAAATACAGATATGTCTTAACCTTAAAGTGCATATATTTCTATCATTAAGGGTTTTTTTTGTTTATGCTTAGAAGCCAACAATACTAGTAGGTGATATCTTTCCATTCGTTTTAAGCTTCTATGAACGTCACACGTGTATCCAGTAAAATTAGTAATGGTGCACACAAGTTATTTCGAACACCTAATTTGTAAAAAATAAATAAATTAGTTTAGGTAACTTGTTACTAAGAAAAAGGTAACTTAGTGGCCAAGCAAGAACAAGTGATCTAGTCAAAATTTTCTTAATTCTTCCAATTTGTCAGGATAACTTTCAATGCTTTCTTAAGTAATTACTCCTATCCTATATAAGTTGTCCACTTTTCCCTTACGAGCTTTCTAAGTAATCATAGATAAGATCGAGTAATTTTACTAATTTTTCATTTATCCACTCCTTCAGAAACTTTTTATTTTTAACTTATAACCTTGATTATGCTTTTTAAAAATATATATTAATTATATGGGTGGAATTAATTTTGCCTTTAGTTTGATAAATAAACAAATAATTTGAGACAATTATTTATAAAAAGTTAGACATAACAACAAGACTGGTTCAGAGATGGTAAATTATTATTTTCTTAAGATAATTGAAATTTCTTTCCAAAAAATGTTTGTTTTTCCTTTTTAATCCTTCTTTTAATTAGTTAGTTATTTCCTACTTTGGTTATATTTTGATTTCCGATTTGATTACAGAGTCCACGACTAAATTGAGTTGTTATAGCCTATTTTGGTTAGGTTTTTGCGCTCGCGCCCAATCCGCGCCAAATTTCAAATTCTCTTTAGGTCAGTTTGTGCCCTATAAATAGTTCCCAACTTTGCTTCTTCTCCAAACCGATCCTCTTTCACCCCGTCGTCTATACGATGACCATATCTGAGAGAAGCATGAACCGGCCCGTCGGAATCAAGCTGGATCCGTCAAAGAAGCCGGTGTACCTCACCAAATCACAGAGAGAGCAGTTAGCCCTCCATGACGAGATCGCCGATCGGAAACGCTGCCACGAACATCTTCAGGTTAAGTACAACCGCCCTTCCTCCGATAACCACTGTAGCGAAAAGAACCGAAAAAGAGAGAGAGACAGGAACGGTGACAGAGATAGAGAGAAGGAATTAAATCGAGTTAGATTGGAGAATCCGGCAGAGAAGGAACTTGAAGCTATTCATGAGCAATATTTGAGATCTAAGAAACCCAAGAAACGGGTGATTACATCCTGTGCAAAACTCCGATCATCTTTCGGCTGGGAGAACTCTGAAGACACTTCTCGTGACGTGAACCCTCTTTATCAAAACCCTCACGAAGCCCGTCCACACTTTGGTCGCGGATTCTTTGGTGGAATCGATCGAAGGGAGCAGAAGAAGCTTGCCATCAAGAATGAGAGGAAGATACAGGAGGAGATTTGGAAGAAGGGAGGCGTTGAGGCGACTGCAGTAGAAGCAGCTGCCTTGAAGAAGAAGGAACAAAATGCTGATTTGTATGACACTTTTGACATGAGGGTTGATCGCCACTGGACAGATAAGAAGCTGGAGGAAATGACAGAGAGAGATTGGAGGATATTTAGGGAGGATTACAACATATCCTATAAGGGGTCGAGGATACCCCGTCCCATGAGGAATTGGGCCGAGAGCGCCTTAACTACAGAGTTGCTTAAGGCGGTTGAGAGGGCTGGCTACAGGAAGCCCTCTCCTATTCAAATGGCTTCCATTCCGCTTGGACTTCAACTACGTGACGTGATTGGTGTCGCAGAAACTGGTTCAGGTAAAACTGCTGCTTTTGTTCTCCCTTTGTTGAATTATATCACTAGGCTTCCTCCATTGAGTGAAGAGAATGAGGCAGAGGGGCCATATGCGGTTGTAATGGCACCCACACGAGAACTAGCTCAACAAATTGAGGATGAGACCGTCAAGTTTGCACACTATTTGGGTATCAAAGTTGTTTCTATTGTTGGTGGGCAGTCCATAGAAGAGCAAGGTTTTAGGATTAGGCAAGGCTGTGAAGTTGTGATTGCGACCCCTGGGCGACTTCTCGATTGCTTGGAGAGACGTTATTGTGTTCTGAACCAGTGTAATTATGTTGTTCTCGATGAGGCTGACCGGATGATTGATATGGGTTTTGGACCTCAAGTTGTTGGTGTACTGGATGCAATGCCTTCAAGTAATATGAAACCAAAGAACGAGGATGAAAAGCTTGATGAGAATAAGATTTATCGAACCACTTATATGTTCAGTGCTACCATGCCACCTGCCGTAGAGCGGCTGGCTAGAAATTACTTAAGAAATCCTGCTGTCGTGACTATTGGCACTGCTGGAAAGGTTACTGACCTCATTACTCAGCATGTCTTCATGGTAAAGGAATCTGAGAAAATGTTTAAGTTGCAGAGGTTTCTGGATGAGCTTGGAGATAAGACTGCTATTGTGTTCATCAACTCTAGAAAGCGGGTTAACACTGTTGCCAAGCATCTGGATAAAGCTGGCTATAGGGTAACCACACTGCATGGTGGGAAATCACAGGAGCAGAGGGAAATCAGCCTTGAAGGATTTAGGACAAAGAAGTATAATGTGTTAGTTGCTAGTGATGTTGCCGGTCGTGGAATTGATATACCTGATGTGGCCCATGTGATTAACTATGATATGACAAACAAACTTGAAGCATACACCCATCGTATTGGACGTACAGGTCGTGCAGGAAAGACAGGTGTAGCCACAACGTTTTTGACCTTGCAGGATACTGAAGTCTTTTATGATCTTAAGCAAATGCTCATCCAAAGCGACAGTCCTGTTCCCCCCGAACTTGCTAGGCATGAAGCTTCAAAGCTCAAGCCGGGAAGTATTCCTGGCAGACCACCTAGGCGGAACGATATTGTTTTTACTCATTAAAGTTGGAACTCATGCATATTCAATCACAGTGGTCGAGAGTAAAGAGATTATATAATGGTATCTGTGAAAGAGATGGAGTTGGTAGATACGGTGAATGACTCCTACATAGTGCAGTGGTAAACACAAAACCAGTTATTTTATAAATATTTTTCATTCTATTACTAACAACAAATATGTTAACTTTCTTATATTTCTTTAAACATTAGTGTATCTTCTGACACTGTTTGCGCAGTTTAGGTTTTCCTTATATTTCTATTATACTTACTCTATCTTAGGTACGATGTGCTTACTTATGATTGTGATTATATGACAACAACATAACCACTCTAAACCCATAAGTGGGGTCTGGGGAGGGTAGTGCGTATGTAGCCCTTACCCCTACCCTGGAAGGTAGCTGTTTCCAATAGACCCTCGGCTCAAGGAAAATTGATTGTGATTATATGATGCTGAGATTTCACTGTGCTGGTAAAAAGATTCTTTACCTAGTGCTCTCCTAACCTTTTTACTTAAAAAAAATGAACAGATCAATGGTAGTATAGTACAGTATGCCATGGTACTCCATCGGGGGTTGAGGGGTTGGTTTGCAGAACCATTCATATGTCTTACCCCTTAGTAACAGTCAACGGGACTATGCATGACATTCAGCTTGAGGTTTCATGCATTGAAGGTGTGGATATACTTACATGAGATTTGCATACATTGCTCAATTACACTTAGTTATGTTTAGATTATGACAGATGGCTCACTCGATGGTAAAGCATATCAAGAGTTAGATAATGATCTTTTTAGGTGAAAACAATCTGAGGCCCGTTGTACCATTGATACTTGTAGAGTTGATCAAACTATCACTATGTAAATGAAGTTCATGAGGCTCTTGATTGATTGCAGGACATACTTTAGTGTTTTGGCCCAACTTCCAAATGATTTATAGTTTTCAGCTTATTTCATTCTATCAGTAAAACAACAAGGCCCTTGAGTACCTTGTAAGATGGAAAATGACTTTTAAGTCATCAGCAATCTGATGGAGGAGGAGTACTATGAGTGCATCAGGTGTACATGCAGCTTTCCGGTAATAATCAAAGAGAGGGATGCACCACCAATTACTCTGCGTGAGAGAGAATAGGCATCCTTTTTAGTAGTCATCTTGGTGTCACTATTGCTAATGGGCAATGGCCTAATGCACCATAAGCAAACTACTTGCTTAACTGGACAGAACTTGGGCATGCATTGGATAATATTAGCATGAGAAATGTGGTTTTAAATGCTTGATTTAGTTTTATGGTTGAAGAAGTAGATGTTTGCACATATAAAAGTCAACTTCTACTTCCGTATAATATATTTTGTGAAATGCAGGTAAAATCAACATATTGTATTTCATGCATTATCAAAGTGTCTTCTCACTGGAAAGAAAGATGATGAGACATTGGGTTAATTTCTTGTGTGTGATTATGCAGCAAAGCTTGAAGCTTGGGACTGATATCCTGTAGATAATAAGCAATTGAACAGGCATGAACTTCTTTAGCTCCTCAGAGTTATCCTAAATACTTTTTAATAACAATACATTTATACTTTAGTAATGAAACATTTTCCATTCCTTGCTTCCATCTCTTTTGCACTATTTCTGTCTATCTTTATGTATGCCAACATTCTGTCACCCACCATTTGTGTATATATGATTGTTAGCTAGGCTGGCCTTTGCTCTTCTATTGGGAATTTGTGGTGGTGGAGGTGTTGCTGTAAACAAATATTGGATAACCTTTGTTAGTTTGCTTATGTGAATCATGTTTGTGATTCTCTTATCTGTTTTATATCCTCCCTTGTCACTAGCATGGTTTTGGTTTTGCTTTCCTTCAGGTTTCCACTGGGATGTTTATATTGGCCGTTGGAAGAGGTACTCTTTTGTTTATTATTTTATTATAAAAGAATGAAACAACATGGTTGGATTAAATAACATGCTCTGGCAATCTAAATAATAGTGTCATAGGTTGCTTTACTTTCTTTTACTTTGATGAATATACAAAAAATGATTTAAATCTCTCTGCCATAGAACTTTTAAGATTCCGTAATAGATTTTATTATCTACTACAAAAACTAAAGGCAATCATGGTGGAAATGCATTTGTTTGAGAGGAACTCTTCTTTTGCTTCACTAAAAGCAAATTATGTTTGGTTCTGACTTGTGATTAATAGATCTATTAGCTGATTCAGCATAATATTTAGGCCCTTGTTCTGAAAAGTCGAAGATATGCCTTCTATTTACTATGTCCTGGAACGCATTGTTCTTTTCTAGTTGTGATAGAATGATATATCTGCTGTAGAATAGTTTCGAACTCTATAAAATTCATAAACTTTTGTTTTTGTTAGTTAATCTTTCTTAAGTTCAACTTTGGAAACAGATTTAAACACTGTATCCTCACTCACCATCATGTGAGAATTCAGCATTCTCGCTGAGAGCATTTTAGCATGACAATTCTTAGTGTTGCAATAATTGATCAAAATTTTGTGAGAATACAGCCCATTTCTATTGCGCAGCTGTACATAGAGGGAGGAGGTACTCCTTTATTCTTCTGTATTACTTTTTGGTGTGTCATGATAAATACTACATTTTAGTTGCATATACTAGTGGCCTTTTCTCCGCTATTTTCTTTTCATACCTGTTTTGATATGTTTTACTTGAGCCAAGGTCTATCGAAAACAGTCTTTCTACCTCAAGTCCTCTAGAGGTAGGGTAACGTTGCATACACCCCACCCTCTCTAAACCCCACTTGTGGGGTTTTGCTAGGTACGTTGTTGTTGTATCCACTTCATCATTTGCTTTGAAGTTAGACCAGGAAATAATTTTATTTGGACCTGCTACTGTTTTCAAGAAACAGAAGAACTTGTGTAATGCTTTTATACTTTATATGTAAGATGTGCATCAATCATTTTTGTTACAGCTAACATGAAATGTCATCTTGATGTTTAGATCATTGGAAAGAATAAGACGTCTGAGAAGGAATGCCGTAAAAAGGCTTCTTCAATTTAATCTGGGATAGGAGTAAACTATGAAAACAAGCAACGAAGTAGAAAAGAGAACATGCATTTTCAGTAGTTGGGGAAGAATTTGAGATTAAACTTATTTATGTTTTATTTATTTACCATATAATACAAAAATCCCTCCTCTCCAAAAAAAAAAATCAAACATCTAGATACGTTACTCTCCATTTCAAACCCACGTTTCCCCGTCCTATTTTCACTTCTTCAATTTCTCTCTATTTTTACTCTCATAATCTAATCGGTCATCCCTCGTCCTAAAATTTGAATTTCAAAAAATTTCTCTCTCTAGTCAATCAATTGTCAATAGGTAGTTATTGTCTTCTCCATTTTGTTCGTTTTTTTAATCAATTTTCTCATACATATAGATGCTCCTTCGTTTAGTGTTGAGATTATTCAATTAAATACATCTAACACTGATCAAATTTGTGATATTGACGATCATAAATGGGCTGAAAATAGATCTAAAAGCTTGCACAATTCATTTACAACGACAAATCAAAATTGTCAGTAGGTAGTTATTGTCTTCTCCATTTTGTTCGTTTTTTCAATCAATTTTCTCATACAAATGGATGCTCCTTCGTTTAGTATTGGGATTATTCAATTATATACATCTAACACTGATCAAATTTGTGATAAATGGGCTGAGAATAGATCCAAAAGCTTGCACAATTCTTTTACAACGGCAAATCAAAATTTTGAGAAAGCAAAATCAAAGAAGAATGTATTTTCATTGTCTAAAGCGGATGTGCAAAATCATGATTTTAAATTCGATCAGTGTTAGATGTATTTAATTAGATAATCTCAATATTAAATAAAGGAACATTCATATATACCAAAACTTGATTAAAAAATGAAGAATAACAAAGCGGAGAAGATGATAACTATCTATTGACAAATATGAAATTGATTGACTGGAGAGAGAAACTTTTTGAAATCAGAATTAGAATGAAAGAGATAATTGATTGAATTATCAGAGCAAATATAGGAGTGCGGAAGCGTGGTTTTGGAACGGAGAGTAATGTATTCGGATGTTTGAGTTTTTGTAGGAAAGAGAGGAATTTTTGTATCATTTTGAAATGATAGGGAATAATAGAAAATATGGTAAATAATGGTGTGTGGATAGATAATTTTTATATTTAAGAGACTGTCCATGTATAATAATGAAATTTAATAAGAAATTTAAAAGATTGTTGATGTATTCTCCGCGGTAACATGGGAGTGGATTAGAAGCAACCAATATATATATACACACACATTAGTACATCATTATCAATTTCATAGTCTACACCTACAAAATAAAAGTATGAATTTGTTTGGGAAAATATACAAGTACCCCCTTAATCTATGCCCGAACTCTCAGAGAGACACTTATACTATACTCAGGTCCTATTACCCTCCGAACTTATTTTATATATAATTTTCTACCCCTTTTCGATCGCCGTGGCACTATCTTGTGGGGCCCAGTGGGTGTTGATATTTTTCTTCAAGCTAGTGTCACGTAGGTCGAAAAGGGTTAGAAAATTATTTACAAAATAAGTTCAGGGGATAATAGGACCTTAGTACAGTATAAGTGTGTCTCTGGGATTTTGGCATAGGTGGAGAAGGTATTTGTGCATTTTCCCTATTTGTTATAATCATTGTTTAAATACTTAATTGACATATATAAATAACAATTACATATATATGTGACCTTCATTTTCTTTAGCTCATTCGAAATTATTAATTTTGCCATATGTAAATTTTGACATATAATTGAATTATGAAATACAACACAATCAATATATAGAGATACTTATGGACCAATCTAAATAACAAATGAATTGCATATAAAGTAAATTTGAAATCATCACCAGTATAAATTCAAGAGTCGTTTTCATAGAGTCAAACTAAAGTATGACTTAAATTAAATAATACATTGATTCACCATTTAACTATAGAATGAAAAGAATAATAATCTTAGGTAATAAGTCAAAAATAAGGAAATATAATGTAATAAATAACAATATCTATGATTTTTTTATTTGTTGATATTGTACTTTCTGAAATCGTCACTGCAATACAACTTTCATATTAGACATACTTCAATAAAAAAAAAAAAGAAAAGACATTGTGCCATATAATTCTTTTCAATTTTCACAAGTATATAGCCAAATAAAGATACCTGTCATTTAAGGTATCATCTCTTGTGAGATTTTCATGAAAATCAATTAACACGCAAAAAAGCATATCATATCTTTTTCAGTCCACTCCTGATGTTGCTTTTGTATTCATATGTTTTGAGTACATATTTATAAATAAAATAAAAAGTTAAAAGCTTTATAGTCATTTGACAGATTCACCCCAAACGAATAGGAATTCTTTGAATCATATCGTGCTATTATTATTCTTAATTTTCTTTGTAAATCGCAATTAGTTGTTGCTATTCATTTTTGTGTTAAGAGGAATCATTTAAATTTTATTTTAATCCCATGTATATATTAAATTTTTAACCATAAAATTAATTTTAAAAAATTCAAACAAAAAAAGAAAGAATATGTTAAATGTAATTGGAGACTATAGAAAGGTTTTATTGCTACTTTTATATTGTATAAGCACGATATGTGTTTGTGTTAAGTAAATTGAAAGAGAGAAATGAAAATAAATATAAGATATATATATATATATATATATATATATATTATATTTATATACCCAAGCGTTTGCATGCATCACCACCGTACACATGTAGCGCTATCTCACATGTGAACATCACAACACACATCCTATTATTAGTATATCAGAATGTCAATTGTCATACATTGCGATGTAATGCGCGTTTAAGACTTCCATTATTATACTAGACAAATTACACCGTAAAAATATATATTACTCTATCTGTTTTAATTTATTTGTCTTATTTTAATTTAAATAAAGTTATAAAAATAATTTCTTTTTTCCGAATATTATAGTTTTAAATTATAGATTTTGCTAAATATATTAAAATATTATTTAATTTTGATGTGCTAGGTAGAAAATTGTTAAAATACAAAATAGACTTCTTCTTTTTTTTGGAAAATCAATAAAAAAATATAAATAAATTAAAATGGAGAAAATATTGATATTGTATTTACCTTCCTTACCTGCCAACACACAAAAAAAAACAAAAAACAAATAAAGTTTCCATCTTTCCCGTGAAATTTGACCATTTGGCTCCGCATCTTCTTTCTTTTTCTATTTTTTCAGGACTCTATTAAAATCAAAATGCTAAACAGTTAAAACTGGAAGAATACTGCTAGCTATCATTACTATTATTCCCTTTGTTCTTTGTCAAAAAAATGTTAGATTTTAATTTTCTCTTTGTCAAAAAAATGTTAGAGTTTAATTTTCTTTTACTAAGTCATTTTTGATAAATTAAGAAACGACAAAGTAATTTATTAATATTGAGTTAATTTCTTTGAAAAATTTAGTGAGTTAATATATTTGAGACCTCGTCGTAGTAAAATGGTTGACGTACTGCATAATAACTATTTTTAATAAGCGTGTCAAGTCAAAAATTAACAAGTAAAAAGAGACTATTTATAAGGAATAACAAGCTTAAGCCATAATTCCAACGCACTAATTTTGAATATGTATATATAGACATCTCAATTCATTTTTTTTGCGATCAATTGAAAACACCTTCAAAATGGTTTAGCCACACTATTGCTACTGAACTGAGAGGAAAGTTTCAATCTTTTCAAATTCTTGTGTGTGATAAAAAGTGAAACCTCCTGAAATGACAACATTGTTAGAACTTTCCTCTCCTTTTTCTTTTCTCTTTTGTTTTTTTTGTCTCTTCTTTGATGTCACTTTCTTCTCTCAAACAGGACACACAAGTGAGAGAAAAAATCAAAACTTATCTTCATTTTTTCTATTACTAGTAAACAAAGAGCCTCTTTTTATTTATTTATTACTATAACCTGCAAGGTAGACCCATCTAGTTTCCATTGATGGATCCCAAACAGGCTAACCACAACAATATTAAGCCTACTCATGATCAGATAAAAGAGTTGCAGATTTTGAAAAATGATGAAACGAACAAGGTGGCTGCTCCCAAAAGAAAAGATAGGCATACAAAAGTTGAAGGTAGAGGGAGGAGAATACGTATGCCGGCGCTCTGTGCAGCAAGAATCTTCCAGCTTACGCGCGAATTGGGTCATAAATCTGATGGTGAGACAATTCAGTGGCTGCTGCAGCAAGCCGAGCCTTCGATTATTGCTGCTACTGGCACAGGGACAATACCTGCCTCGGCTTTAGCTGCAGCAGCCTCTGTTTCTCAACAGGGGATCTCTGTATCAGCTGGTTTAATGATTGAATCGGGGGCGAATATCGCGGGGTCTGGTAGCAGTAGAAGTAGTAATAGTAGGACCAATTGGCCAATGATCTGTGGGAATTTTGGAAGACCCCATTTGGCTACAGCAGGAATGTGGCCTGCCCCTGCCCCTGTTGTCACTAGTTTTGGGTTTCAATCCTCATCTGCTCCATCAAGCGCGAGTTTAGGTAGTGATAGTTCAAATTATTACTTACAGAAAATTGGGTTTCCTGGATTTGATCTGCCTGCAGCTACAAGTATGAATCCGATGTGTTTTACTTCAATTCTTGGTGGAAGTAATCAGCAACTGCCAGGATTGGAACTGGGATTATCTCAAGAGGGTCATTTAGGGGTTTTGAACCAGATATACCAGCAGGCAAGAATGCAACATCCGCAGCAGCAACATCAACAACAACAACAATCTCCGGAGGAGGATTCTCAAGGATCAGGACATTAATAAAAGACCTGAGTTAGGTTCTTTTTGGTGAATGATTTTTCATTTGTTAGGATGTGTATTGATTATAAGTTAAAAGTCATTCATTCGCCCTTTATATATGAGTGGTGTGCTTATATCTTGTTTGCTGAAATAGACATGGTAATCACAAATACATTTTGTACTATATGAGGCTTCAGAATGATTCGCGTCTTTGTGTTTTTACGTTTCCTGAAATCAATTCCAATTTCAATATATCCAGGCTAATGAGATCACGAAACTGTTATCTAGTTTCTTGTGTTTGGGGGTTTGAGAAAAAGAATAAGGAACATAGTACTGAATTGTCTTTCAGAACTGATGTGATCACCATACGACGTCTAGTTCTAAAAGAAAATTCTCATGGTTTTATTGACCTCTTTAGTGCTGGTTTGTAGTTGAGCAGCTATATGTATGGATATTTATTGAGAGTGCGTGTTGTTGGTCTGCATTGGAAACATGGGATACTATCTCTCTGGTGTGTGGATATTCATTTTGCCCTCCATATTTATTGTACATCGAGTGAGTTGCCTTCAGAAAGTTATCAATTCTTGAAATGCAGTATCATCTTTTTGAGAAATTATTGACTTATGGTAGTTCATTTTGATATCTTTATTTAATAACTGCATTCGGTATGAGCAGGAAGTTTCTGCCTGTTGTTATTCGTAGGCATTCTGCCTATATTTCGACAGGCTGGTATTGGATTAGTGTTGCTGTATAGGTGAAACAGATGCTTCTGTTTACTAAGAGTTGCAGGAATCTAAGTGCACACTTTGTGACTGTTTATGCTGTTTTTACAACTATGATTGAGTATATAAAGACTTGTTAACCTGGGAATGCAATTGATCGAGTCAATAGGCTATGATGTACTTCTGATTTGGCTTAAATATGATAAGTTTATAAGACCATCTCATAGCGCGCAGCTTCATGCCAACCTTCTTGTAGATTGCATTGGAGCTATTAAAAGATCCACATCAGTGTAAAGTTGGCATGGATTTATAACACAACAACCATGTTACTTGTTACTACTAGAGACACAACAATAGTAGGTAAGAAACCAGTCATTTCTTCTAGAAAACGTTTTTCTGGCTGCTCAACGCAACCTTCATCTTCATTGATCATCAATCCGGTCAACTTTGTCAGTCTTAAAACCCCAGTTTTCGTTTTTCCAATTCATAAGGCAAAAAAAAAAATCAATAAATGGAAACTACCAACGTCGATCAAGCTCTAATTAATTGTCATATATTGGCGATTCCGTATCCAGGTAGAGGCCACATCAATCCATTGATGAATCTGTGCAAGCTCATAGCTACAACGTCCACATCAAATCCATTGAAGCATTGGAATCTCAAGTAATTGAGGCTTTACAAGCTGAAATTCCACTCCCCATATTCACCGTTGGTCCAACAATCCCTTACATGGATACCGAATTCAAGAGTCCAAACTACATGTCATGGCTAGACGATCAACCTAACGACTCTGTGCTATACATATCCCAAGGAAGTTTCTTGTCAATATCAAATACACCGTTGGATGAAATTATAGCGGGCGTGCAAAGCAGTGGTGTCCGTACATTTTGGGTGGCACGTGAGACTTCTTCCTTACTTACAGATGGAATTGGGAAGAGGGGAATCGTGGTGCCTTGGTGCGACCAATTGAGAGTTTTGTGTAGGTGGATGGAATTCAACTAAGGAAGGTGCATTTGCAGGCGTTCCGTTTCTTACATTCCCCATTGTGGCTGATCAACAGTAAACAAATAGTGGAGGACTGGAAAATTGGGTGGAGGGTCAGCAAGGAAAGCGAGAACATGGTTAAGAGAGATGAAATCGCTCTGCTTTATGGATCTTGAAGGAGAGGAGCAGTGGAAAAAAGGAAAAAACTGCCATCCAAGGAAATATATTGACAAGTTCATTCGGGATATTTCTCGGCAGTGATTTACTTTCCCCTGAAGTGTTCATTTTGGAACATACCCACGGTGTTGGAAAATAATTGCAAGTCTCTACTTGAGGCTTGACAAACTGTCCAGTTAAGATACCTGCTGTCACCAACAATACCTAGTCACTCTACTCGGCTATTTATTGCTAAAGGTCATGTTTGCACTAGGAATGAAACAGTTCCTATTAGTTTTGTTCTTATTTTGGGTATTGTGCTGGTCTGAAACAGTTCCTATCTATCTATCCTCATTTACTGAGTAGTCTCATTAAAGTGGTTTGGCATCTTATTTAGACTTCTATCTGGTTGGATAGACAATATCACCTAGGCTTTACTACCAAATATTAGAATGGATGACTGACTGCTCACTGCTCTTACATTCAGCGCTTCTACTTTGCTGACAAGAATCAGCACAAACTTCTTTTGAGTATTTAATTTGTCTAGCATGTCTAAAATCATTCCTTAAACGGCCCCAAGAATGAAGAAAAGGGGGTCAGCTTCAATATTGCTGGTAGCAGAAACACGCTAGTTCCCATTAATTGTACATTTTGCCCTTCAAATGTGCTGCTCTTACATTTCTGCCCAGACCAATCAAACATATGCGTACAGAGAATAAGTTATTTAAGGGCAAGAGAACTAAAGAACAACACAAAATAGGAGCAGATGACCTGCCAGTTTCTAACAATTTCGAATCCAGCATACTTCTTGATTTTTTAGACGTCAAAGATTAGAGTATACGGATCATCACGATCTAAGTTGAATAATAAGGACCCAGAATAGAATAACAAGAGCTCGGTAAAATCCTATAGCATGCAATCCAGCACACTTTCTGTATTTCTGTATAAGAAATCTGCAATTACAAAATGTACACCTACCAAATTCATTCAAACAAATAGACACGCTGTTACATTGAATAGCCGTTCAACGAACAAACAAGTAACAATGAGCTATCATACTGTTTTCCCTGAACTTCACAGCAGCAGTTTATCCCCCAAGAATACCACAGGATTAAACTTGAATCACTTACAATCTCACATTATGGTACACGCGCACACACTTTTCTTCGGAGTCTCGTCAATCTTCTTTTCTGTCATATAAAGACAAGTTTCAGCAGCCAAAAGGAAAAAAAAAAAAGTGTACACTATGAATTATTAACACCACACCCTGGAATGAAGATACTTGTTAAGGATAGAAAACAGGCACGGAATTGAACTTCTATACATAAATAAATAAATTTTACAAGAAAAGCACAGGGTTAGAGGTTAAGGGTGTGGCAAGGCGGGTCTTCTACCGTGTATCTTATCCTCAATTCAGCATTAGAACAAATAGAGGGTTCATGTCAAGCTTAGAAGGTAAAGTCTTATTTCAGTAAAATTTAATGAAGCTCACATTTACACGAGACAAGTATTTCCTGGATACTACAACTTCAGCATTAGACGAAAATAGACATCCGCCAAACATTAGTGGAGGATTCATGAAATAACTAACTCAAGAGAATCTCCAATTACAAAAATCTCACTGGGATAAGATTTAGTTAAGCACCTTGCCACATATAAGCAAGAGCACTTCAACAGGTCAAAATCCACTAGCACAGTTAGATCTTGATTGAACTCAGCAAAATTTAACTTGCACAAAACACCCGACTCACCTTGTTTCTCCCTCGAATCTACCACTTAATTATCCACCAAAGCTGCATTCAAAATCTGCCTTCCATCAACAAAAGCATTTTGCAAAAACGAAACAGTCTCGTGCAAAAACTCTCTTTAAGTCTATCAGAAAGCACCTTAGAAATGATCTTGTAGATGCTTCCAACTAGACCAATTGGTTTGTAGTCCCCAATTCTAGAAGTCTCTTCCTCCTTTGTAAAAATTACAATCAAAGAAGCATTTAAGCTCCTTCCGAAACTACCCCTCCTAAAACTCGTCAATAGTACTTAATTCATCATGTCTGACTGTATAACAATGCTGAAAGAAAACAAAAGTTAAACCATCTAGACCTCGAGCCTTGTCGCCCGCACAACACCCCACTGCCTCACGCACCTCCCTTATGTCAATTTTTCTCTCTTACCGCTCACTATTATCCACTCCTATCTAATTGGCCTCCATTCTTCTTCCTCTTTGAACAATTGTTCATAGAATTGAACAACTGCTCTTCCTACTTCTTCCTCTCCCACATGTATGTATCTCCCCCCAACTCTACTCACTCTATTAAATTTCTCCTCCTATTTGCAACTATTACCCTGCAAAAGAACTTGTGTTAGAATACCAATACTCGGACCCCAACGAGCTCAATTTTTGTCTCCAACTAGTCTCTTAAAGCTAATTCCATTTTTAAAATTTATTTTTTCTCCATTTCCCTTTTGTCCAACTTCCTTCCCACCTGTATTCTTTCTAATTCCCCCACCTCATTCATAATCTCCCTCATTTTCACCTCTACCCTCCCAAACACTACCTCTGATTCCACATCTTAAGTCTTTCTTAAGCATCTTTACTTTTTTACAAGTCTGAAAGATGGTCTCTCCTCTATGCCCCGGCTACTCTATCTACAAAGTCTGTCTCTCACAGCCACATGTTCTCGAATTTGAAAAGTGATCTCATCCTTCTACCCCTACACCATCCAACATAATAGGTGAATGATCTCCACAAGAGAGGGAATTGAATAATGCTTGGTTGAAATTGGCACCTATCAAAGGTAAATCTATAAGAAGGTGGTTAAAAACTGCAAGAATTCCTCCATTTCCCTGGAAATCGCCTGTAACCCAACCTCTCCTCCGCGAATCTTATAGTGTTAAAAATCCCTTCCTAAGATCCCTTGTAGTGTTAAAAATCCCTTTTTAACACCCAAGGGATCTCCCACCTCTTTTCCATACAATTCCCTAACTTCTCCAAAGAAAACTGCATTCCACCCTATTTTAAAACTAAACTGCACCCTTAACATGAACTCCCCCTTATTAAGCTCAACATACTCCTCCTTTCTGTTCTCTCGCCTTCCTATCATCCCAAAGAATAAGTATTTGTCCTGCACTGTCCTGTGCCAGAAAGTAATCTTACTCCCTCCCCGCCCCAACACACACACACACTTCTAATAGTTCTATTCGTCAAAGTTTCCATTTTTGTTTCTTGAATAAATATCACATCTGCTCCTATTTTGATAATATTAAAATAAAGTAGGAGCATTAGGTCACTCTAGAAGTTGGAACTTGTTGTCCAATTCTAAATT